CTCCTTAACTTGCCTTTGTATACAGTACCAAATCCTCCTTCACCCAACTTGTTTTTGAAACCTCTGGTCATCTTTTTAATTTCCTTGTAGGAGTATTTTATGGGCACGGGGTCACTATACTGTAAAAAGTCTTCAATATTTTCATATACAGACAAGTGTCTTTTTCTCCATTTGTGAATTAGCAGCACAATGAGAAATATCACTCCAAAGAGATACCTAACTCCCACTAATGATATTAGTCCAAACCATCTATAGTCAACCGGTCCAATTAAGTAAGGATGAAAGGGTACATCATCATTGATGTCCTGGAATATTGATGTTGAACGAAATGTTATTATGCAATAAATCCCTGTACAAATACAACAGCCAAACAATTAGGAGAAGCCGCCTTTACATTAACGTGTTTTAACAAATGTTATCATATTGATTTTTCTATTAATTTTTATCTTAAGAAAATGATGGATACCACTTAGTCATCTGTGCAATGTTTTTTCAAATAAGAATAAAACAGAAAAGGTTATTCTACCTTGTTTAACACTTAATAATAAAGAATATTACTTTTTATATTTGTAAAACACTATAAGTAAGATCTGATAAATATATAGTTACAATGCCCATTCCAGATTTGACTTGCAAAATGTTCTTTAAAACGAATAAATGGTCTTGTTATTAAAAAAAAGGAAAAAAATAATTATTTGTCATTATACTTTTAATGTGTGTTGGTATTAATTGCTATATTTTTATTTCGATTGTTCTAAGTCTGTAAAGTTTGATGTATTTGCAATGTTAATTTTTATCATCACTGATAGAGTTTAATTTGCTGATAAAATTATGATGTTTTTGTATAAGCAAAATAATTGCTAATCTTTTTGTCTGTTTGCCCTAATTGTGTATCTTCTTCCTTTTAAAGCTTTATTCATTGCACATTTAAGTATTCTAATTTAATTTCCTTCTTATTTTTTGTCTTTTACTCAATTTTATACAACTCATCATAATTTTAACAAGTTAATGCAAGAAATAACAGAGTTTATGCACTTGTTACTCAATATTAAGTCTTCATTGTCATAATTTATTATATATGGACTAACATTATAGATAGATAAAACTTAAGATTTGAAATAATGAAAAAAAAATATAAACTAATACCATAACACACTACCAAAAGTTATATATATATATATATATATAATGACGTGTATTTATGTGTCTGTGTGTGCAAACTGTTAGGGAAAACTTTTAGGATGCTTATTTATTTTGAATACAATGTTTGGACCAAACACATGCTTAGGGATCAATAAACTATCATACTATAACAAATTAAATATCTACTCCACAAGCATGCATGAATGTTTCGGTAAAGAAAAAAGGTAAGCGTTGTATCAAAAAGAAAGGAAAAGAAAAAAAAAGGTAAGCGTGTCAAGATCTTACCATTTAATATGTCAAACAGAATTGCTGCAAGGGAATTTCAAAATTTTGTTAAGTACATCAAAATAGGAATAAAGTTATGAAAGACATGCATAGCTTCATGTTAAAAAAAAAAAAGTAAACCAAGTACACTTTCATCCTTTTACTACTTTTCTGCCCTTGCTTGTTGAGAAGATCCTTGATTTTATTTTTATTAATTTTAAAACCTGTTTGAAATTCTAAAAATCTCCTTTCCCTCCCCCCACCTCACCAAACAAGGGGAGGGGAGGGGCCCTCCCAATTTAGGGGATGCCCCCCTCCCCTCTTCTTTCCCTCTCCCTCTTTCCTCACCTTCCTTCCCCTTCATTTCCCTCCTTTCCTTTTTTTTTTCCTTAAACCAAACAGAGTTTTAAAGAAGAAAGGCATAAATATGTGTTTTTTTTCATTTAATTTGTTTATTGAAGTTATATACATGTTGCCTCAAACTAATTTATTTTCATGCGTTTACCAAATTAATTAAAGATGAGTCCAAAAAGAATTACAGATAATGGTGATTGAAGTTTTAAATTTATTGGCCTTCCCTTCAACTTTTTTCCCCTTTATTTAACTGAGTGTTTTTTTTTAAATCTAGATGTTTCGTCACCAATGGAAAAAACATTTAAAAAAACCTCCGGTCACAACCACTTACATTCCATCTCACTTTTATAACTTGAACAATATTCTCTAGATGGCAAATTTGGATCTTCTACTTTGCACGTTTCTCTCAAGTTGTATTTGGTTGTTAGAAATAATGGGAATGAAATGAATTAAAAAAATAAAAAAATAAATTATTCTTTCTCCTTATTGATAAGTATGATAAAATTTAATAGTATATATAAAAATTGTGAGAATCATCACACTCTTCAAAAATCTCATGAATAATAACCCTCAATCTTATTAACTAAATTACCCTTCTCTTTTATAAATATAGTTCATCTATTTTCCTTTACATTTTAATTATTTTATTTTTATTTTTATTTTTTAATTTAATTTATTTTATTCTATTCTAATAACTAAACGAGATCTCATGTTTTTTCGATTCTAGTTTATAGCTATTAAATTGACATTTAATGGTTCAAATTTACTATAACTTTCTAAACAAAACTGCATAGAGAGTTTTGAAGGATAGTCCTTTTTAGCATTGAGTTAGCAGAAATCCTTGATAATTATAAACTTGGATTTGGTGAGTTACACTATCACTTTAAAAATGTGAGATTTAATATTTTCTAAATATTATACGATAATTTCTGACAGTATTGTGTTAAATCCAAATCACCGATTGAGTAAGCCTAGTTATTATTGGGCATTCACCGAATCCAAATTGGATAATTTATTGGATAATAATAAAAAAAGACTGAAAATAATTAACACGTCTCCGTCCGATTAATCATTATCATCAAAGAAGAATATCTAGAGGGGAGAATAAAGAGATAGAACATAACTAGCCTGTAAGGAAGAATCAAAGTTTGAATAAGTTACCTCGGGCATATCTGACGAACTTGATCAGTTTTCCTGAAAGGAAGTAAACAGGAATACGAGGCAAATGAAAATAAACACCATAGGTTTTGAAGTGTCGAATTAAAATAGCTAGCCATAAGGGGGCCCTTTTCTTATACGTACCGCACTGTTGGGTAGTGATGTAAACATAATGACAATAATGCGAGAACTGCCACAAAAGCTCAAATCCAAAGACTAGTGCACGCCGGTGGATATCCACGTAAGACCAGTCACCAGAATAATTGAACGACGTTAGTGTGGTGGTGATCACATGACACCCAATCTCCAAGCTTTGTATCGACATATTGGTCCCAACAAGTGCGTAAATAAGGGGATCTAAGCAGGGTGTGGTGTTCACGAGAATCAAATCGCTCACCGGAGTTTCACACTTGAAGTATATTACAGGAGCAAACGAATTTAGATCATAGTCGTCTCCTTGTGAATAGTAACAAAATCGATCTAGCCTATCGCCTTCTGGAAAAGGAAGACTGAAATTGTATTGGTAAAGGAAGTAGCGAGGGAGGAAGGAGCAGTCGAAATCGTCATAAAAGTTAGGATCCACCAATCAGATTGTGAAGTTGTGGTAGTTGATGGACTTGACGTAGAATTCACCAGAGAACAAGCGTAAGACAGCCACCTTGTCGTCCTTACATTCTAACTCGTAGTGCTCGTCGCCGCAGGAGTCGGGGTCCCCTCTCAGATGAAACGGGTAGTTGATGTTACTAATGTTGCCGCACGATGATACACAATCTGCCCCATCAATATCGGGGATCATATGAAGCACACTAGTCATCAGCACCAGACCCGCCATTATACTCCTTCCCCTGCTCGATGCAAAGCTACTCACCAACATTATTACAGACTAGAAGGTCTGCATCAGCACCCCTCTTTCCCGAGCCACCACTTAAGCATCATAATATATGGGAAAGGATTTTTACAAGACATAGGAAAATTTACTTTATTAGTCCTGCATAGTTTCACCTAAGGTAGCCCCCTTTTTTTACATAGATAATATTATGTCCTGTTTCACTTCTAATATATATATATACATATATATTTTTTCTAAATTAGGAAATTTTTTATAACTTATTATTTATCGCAACGCATTAGTATTACAAATTAACGACACAATCTCAAATCCATAACTCACACCATACTCTGCACGCCCGAAAACAGAAAGCGTCGATCGTGAGAAATTGAGTTGGCCTCAACGCTCTGGGAAGATGCTCAATTCTAGACCCTGCTGTTTGTGGACCTTAGTATTGCTCTTGCTTAACCATATCGGGTAGTGCCAACAACACTGCAAGGAATTAAGGTGTAGAGTGTCGTTAGATTCCCCTTTCGACTCAAAGATAAGCAGCCCGTTCAGTGCGACTATCCTGGCTTTGATCTCACTTGCTCTCACCACCACCACCTCATGCTTTAATTTCCCACAACGTCAGGTCCCGTCAACCTCTTCATCAAACATATTGATTACCAATCCCAACAACTTCAAGTATATGATCCTCAAAATTGCCTTCTGGCCCTGTTGCCAAAACTCTATAACTCAACTATATCACCGTTCAAATTGGAGTCACCCTTCAATTTTGACTCAACGGAACGTTTCCAAGACATTACTTTCCTCAATTGCTCTTCAGTAGACCATCAGTACCTCAAAGGTTTCTCCACTAGATATCTCTATCAAGACATGTTCTCTTACCCCATCTATGATAGTAGGTCTGATGACTCTTTCGTTGACGAGGACCTACTATTTTGTATGAAGATGATCGATATAATTTTGCCAGATCTGTAGCTTGATAACATACAGTAAAATGTTTTGTTCTTTAGTTGGTTGAAACTAAATTGTACTAGATGTGAAATGAGGGGACAAATATGTCAATTGGCGAAGAATAATGGCATGGAAGATGATGTTGAATGTCATGACCATGATCCCAAGATATCTAGATCAACTATTAAACTAGTTGCAGGTGAAAAATGTTCACTCATTCCTCTTTTCTTCTCTATATTGGGCTGGATATTTAAATTATAGAATGTTCAATCCTTTGCAGGTCTAACCTCGAGTTCAGTTGTGCTGCTTTTGGTGCTTCTTATACTCTATCAGTTTTACAGAAATTTGAGATTGAAAGGAGAAGATTGTGCGAGACTTCGAAAGTTTTTGGATGATTATCGATTACTCAAACCTACTAGATTCACTTTTGTTGATCTTAATCGAATCATATGTGGTTTTAAATATAAGTTAGGTGAAGGTGCTCATGGAAAAGTGTTCAAATGAAAGCTTTTCGATGAAATTTTGGTAGCTGTGAAGATGCTCAATAACTCAAAGGAGGATGATGGGAAAGAGTTCATGAATGAAATAGGAGTTATAGGTAAAATCCACCATGTCAACGTGGTTCGCTTACTGGGCTTCTGTGCTGATGGATTTTGCCGTGCTCTTGTTTATGACTACTTTCCAAGTGGCTCCTTACAAAACTTCATATCTGCTCCAAATGACTATGGCTCATTCCTTGGCTGGCAAAAGCTGCACAAAATTGCTATTGGTCTAGCTAAAGGGATTGAGTATCTTCATCAAGGTTGTGATTATCAAATTCTTCACTTTGATATTAATCCTCATAATGTATTATTAGCTGAAAACTTCATTCCAAAAATCTCTGATTTTGGTTTAGCCAAGTTATATCTAAAAAATCAAAATACAATGTCCATAACAGCAATAAAGGGAACTTTAGGTTACTTTGCACCAGAAGTTTTTTCTAGAAATTTTGGAAATGTATCCTACAAGTCAGATATTTATAGTTTTAGAATATTGTTGATAGAAGTAGTAAGAGGGAGAAAAAATATAGACATGGTGCAAGAACATTTTCAAGTTTTATACCCAGAATGGATTCATAGTTTAGTATAAGGAAGAGATGTGTGTATCCCGATAGAAAATGAAGAAGATATTAGCATAGCAAAGGGTTTGGCTATTGTAGGACTTTGGTGCATTCAGTGGTATCTAATTAATCGTCCATCCATGAGACATGTGGTGCAAATGTTGGAAGGAGATGAAGATAAGTTAAAAGTCCCCCCTACTCCTTTTGACTCCTCTTCCATTAATGGAACTATGACAATTCCTGCAAGACAATTGAATTTAGAGTTGGAAATGATTCAAGAATTGGAGTGATTAAGTGTATCTTTAATTTGGGTTTCCAAATGTACCAATGTTTGTATTGATATTAAGTGATTAAAAAATAAATTAAGCGTTGTTGTAAAAGAATGTTACATGTCTGCTACGCAAATCGCCCTTCTAGCTCCAATTTGTTTTCAATAAAATCATTTTGTTTGGAATGATGAGTGAGGCATGTGGGAATTGTATTTCTTTGTCTCACATATATGGATGAAGTGCTTGAAATAAAATAATACTTTGTCATATAAATGAATCCCTTACGAGAACATATATTATTCTGTACCCAAAATAGATTGTAAAAATTCATGGAATTATACAAGGATAATTAAAGTTACTTTTAATTATCTCATTGGAATCAAGGAGATGTAATTAAATGCATTATTTTAAAATGTTTTCTCTCTGAAGTCTTTTAATTTACTCATAAAAAATTGTAAAAAGATAAAATTAAAAAATAATTAATCATTGCTCTTTTTATGCAAAATGACTTATTGGTAAATGCATGGATAAGATATAATTAGACTTACTTATTTTTTAGATATTTAGAATTATTGTATTAGGATTATTTGAATAGGAATATTTAGAAAAAAATCATTAAATTAATTAGAATTTAATTATATTTTCTCATCTTTATCTTTCTTAGAATTATTTTAAATTTTATTCAATAAAATAGGATATCTAGGCCGTCTAGATTGTAGTTGTTACCTCTTAAAAAATTGGATTTGGGTTTGAATTATTATTTCATATTTCTAAAGTTCTATAAATAATCCTAGGATTAATCATTAATTGTAGTCAAGTTAATAATTAAATAGAGAATTCCGTTCTTGAGCTCCTCACTCATTTTCTCTCATTCTTCCTCCTTCTCTCTCTACCCTTCCTCAATTCTTTAGAAGGTGATACTTATTCATAAGATTAGAAGAATAAAAATGGTAAATATTATATTTAAGAAGATCAATCATATACATGCATTAAAAGTTCAAACTAGGCTTATGAGAAGATGCAATTGCACTTGTGAAATGTTTGTTTTTGATCAATTTGTTTTACTTGCTGTTTTCTAAAACCAACCTTCATCATAATAATGCAACTATAATGTCATCACACCTCCCTCCCTCCCTCCCTCCCCGTCTTGCCAAAACATCATCACGTGATCACTTCTACACTTGAATCCTTGTAATTTTGTCCCTTTAGATGTTTCTCATGCATTAATTGATAAGGAAACGCTTGACCAATAACAATCAAGAGTACAACTGCGTCTGATTGGCTAATTAGACAAATTAAATTTCTCTCTTGACTTTTTTGATCCCTTAGGGTTTGGCGTCCTAGGCTAATTAGACAAATTAAATTTCTCTCTTGACTTTTTCAATCCCTTAGGGTTTGGCGTCCTCGGCAATTTAAGGTTTGTTTGGCAATATTGCTCATTTGATAGTAGCCTAAAAGTATAACTGTATCTTAACTTGTAAAAAGTAGGTCGCACTAGTTATATTTAATGAATATTCAAATGTCAGGAGTAATATTGTTCTAATTTAATTAATTTAGGGACAATATTATTATGATGAGTAGTTAAAGGACAACATTTTCATGATGAGTAATTTAAGAATAATATTGTTCCTCTGAGAATAATTTAAAAATAAAATTACGTCTTAATCCCAATAAATATTTGATATTGATTCGTCCTGTTAGACGTGTCTCGCTCCGATGTTGTGGACAACTAAATTGCGGTCTAGCTAGCCTTAAGGGAGAATGTCTGCTAAGTCAAAGATATTAAAATGACTTGGAATATTTGGGGTTAGAAAGATTTTACCACTGATTTGTTGACGCGTATGGCAAGCTGCATGTTACCAATTTGTGTAAGAAATATTTCAAACGCATTAATTGATGGGGCCTGGTCTCATTAATTCATTAGACGAAATTTCTCTCTTGACCCTTTCCTTTAGGTTCGATGTCCCACGCAATTCAATTCTTTGCGCATATAATACGCAAACAACAAAAATAAAGTATTGACTCTTGACTTATCGATTTTGGAAGACGTGTGGCAGTTCATACTGTTAGTTTCTTGCAACCCTACGTGTGGCAGTTCATATATCGATTAATAATGTGTTGATAAGTTGATGACGATAATAAATATGCGTTTGGTCAGAACATTCGATGAACTTCCAGATTTTTTAAGATTTTATATTTATCATAAAAATTGTAAAATTTTAATAAATTTTTATTATTTAAACAATATAAATTTAATTTGAATGGTCTAATTTAATATTAAATTTTTTTATAATTTTTATAAATTAACTATTAAGATGTATTATGGATAGTATAGATTTAAGATAAATGTTTTAAAAAATTTTATTTTAAAAAATATGATTTTTAAAAATAAAAATAAAGATAATTTTCAAACTGACACTTTAAAGAAATTCAGACCATCCAAGATATATCTGGATAGTCAATTTATAAAAAAATAAAAATATTTAATATTTAATATTAAATTATATCATCCACATTAAATCTGCATTGTCCAGATTGATGATAAAATAAATTTATTATTAATTTTATTTATTTATAATTTTTATTTTAACAAATATAAAAATAAAACTTATAAATCTGGACCGTTCAAATTAAGACAGATTAAAATCTAGACAGTTTAGATTGCTCATCATGTGCACCGAAAATGGACTCCAAAAAATATTTGGAACTGATTGGTTTTGAAAGACACAGGACGGTGGTGGCTAGTTTTTCTTTAGGTTAAAAGGACAATTTAATCCATAAATTATAAGTTTAGTATTATTTGAAATTTTAAACTCTTTTTCTATATACTGTTTCCACTCAATGTTTAGAAACACATAATATCTTTGGCCAAAAAAAAGAAGAAGAGACACGTAACATCATTTCTATTATTAATAAAAAAAATTTTGACTATTAATTAGCCAAAAAATTATAAAAAAAGAACATAAAATATTATAAAAAATGACTCAAAAAATTATAAATAAATATCATATAACAAATTTATAATTTCCCGAGGATGACTTTCGTCACTCATTTCAATCATTTCCTCTCCATAACAAAAGGAAAGAAAGGTATGTCTTTTTTGGCCAACTGAAATTCAACGAAAGAAAGATATTAACATTAAAAAAAAAAACAAACAATAAAGAAATATTGAAACTCCAATAGGCAAGACTTATGAGAGATCTTTCACATATAGAGTCTGACTCAAACACAGACACACTGGGACGATTAAGGTGATGCCACACAAATAGATTACAAAGATTAAGCAAATGAGCTAAATTAATTAGTTATAATTAACATGTACAAAATTTGTGATACTTTTTCATAACTATACTGACAATTAATGGATTGTATTTATTAGTTTCTTCTATTAAGTGAAAATAATGGAGCATTAACTATGGATATTCTGAAAAATATTAATATGACAAGAAAAAGTAAATAAAGTCATACATTGAGCATCAAAACAAAATTCTCAAGAGAGGTTTTTTTTTGGGCCCCCTCTGGGAATTCTGTAGGCCACAATCAATTTTTTTTCCGAAGTGCCCATTCATAGCTAGGCAATAAACCTGGCCCCCAATTCATAGCTAGGCAATAAACTTGGCCCAATTCATAGCTAGGCAGTTAAGCAGATGGCTTCGTAACCTCAATTTTAGAAAATAGAAACGACAAACTTAAGACATGTTAATACTTAATAGGCTCGATCTCTTTTCCAGAGGATAATATGGGGCCGATGATCTATTCGACTCCCTCCGTTTTCTATTTACAGAAAAAACTGTCATTTTAATTTGTTTTTGTATTTAAGCAAAATTATATTTTTTAATAAGCATTTATTATAATTTTTCAAAGTACTCCTTATAATTTTATCAGTCACAATTATAACAAATAATAAATGAAAGGTTGATTAACACAACTAATAAAGGGTATTATACTTCAATTCTTTTGCTTTCAAACACAATTAATATATTGAATTAATTTTCTTAGACTATATAGTACTTTTTTTTTCTCCATAAAAAAAGAAGGGAGTATCATGCAAACAATGTAGGGAGAATCACGCCACAAGCCCAAAAAAAAAGAGGAAATTGCACTGCAAGCTTAAGAAATTATGATAATGTACTATAAGCCCAATGGCCCTTATTGCAATTTTTTTTGAGGGCAAAAGTACAATTTTGCCCTTAATCAAAATGAAAAAAATGAACAAAGTGGTGGAATAATCAACTTGACATGCATGGACATTCAATTGAGAATTTATGAATATCGTGTTTTGCATTAATGAACATTGTGTTATATATAGTCTGCGTAATTTTTATATTTTATTAAACCTACTGATCAACTTGACACGCATAAACATTCAGTTGAGAATGCATGAACATTGTATTGAAAATTTATGAATATTATGTTGTGCATTCATGAATATTGTGTTGTACATACTTTATGTGACTATTTTAATTAGTGTACAGATCAACTAGACATGCATGGACATTTTGTGTTGAGAATGTATGAACATCATATTGTGCATTCATGGACATTGTGTTGTACATTATTTGCATAACTTGTACATTTTATTAAACCTACTGATCAACTTGACAAGCACAAACATTCGGTTGAGAATGCATAAATATCATATTATGCATCAATGGACGTTGTGTTGTACATTATTTACGTAACTTGTATATTTTATTAAACTTACTAATCAATTGGACATGTATAGATATTGTGTTGAAAATTCATGAACATCATGTTGCGTTTCATGGTTGAGGGTTTCATGCAGATTCTGAGTTTTCAAATCACGTAAGAAAAAACTATACTTTCACTCTCAAAAAAAAAATTGCAACAAGAGCCCTTGAGCCTGCAGTACCTTATTAGAATTTATTATGCCTAAAGTGCAATTTTCTATCTTTTTAAGGCTTGCAATGCGA